GCGGGGCCCAAGTTTTATTGAATAGACAATAGAGAAAGAGTGCAATTAGAATACAACACTCTCGCCGTGTACAGATTGAGACCACGACTAAGGATACCAATTGACGAAACGAGTTGGATATGACATTTGGTATCCGGAAGTCGGGTATCAATCCGAATGGGGAGTAAGGGATGGGGGTGATAAGGGGACAATGAATGAATGGAATAGCATATATGGTGGGCGGGGTGGGCGGGGGCGAGTACTGGGTACTGGTACTGATGTGTGGTTATGTAAAACATGGGAGCCATAATGAATAGAAGGGTGATATTTACATATCCATTGTGATAGTATTTGGAGGGAATCAATAGAAAATAGGAAGACCAAAAATCGAATTTTCAGAGCACTCGACGATGAAATCGCCACGTCATCTGCAGCTACTACAATGTTCAATATCTCAATAACGGGTCTTTTAATTTGGTTTTTCTTTCATTCTTTCATACAGATTTCTTGTTCATATCTCTATTACTCTTGTCTGAAATCAATGCACGTTGTGGCCGAGAAAACTACGGTGGGCGGAGCTTAGCTCCCACAGAGAGAACACTACGGTATTTTTCAAATTATTGCACGCGCCTTTAAACAGTACCTCAACATTTATTGAATTTTTGCCTTTTTCTCTTATTTTTCCGCTTGTTTCTGTCTAATTTTGTCTAATTCTTATAAATCTTCAATTTATTTCCCTTAGAAAATAGAAAAACAGCCAAATAAGGCCCAAAATAAAAAATCGTCAGAGGTACGGTTTAAAAGGCGCACGCATCAATTTCTTGTTTTCGCTGTTCGACCGACGATGCGATTTTGAGTAAATTTTCGGCCGCAACGTGCATTGAATATAGACAACAGTAATATAATTTTCCATTTTTCTCTTCAAGAACTCGTCTCGTTTGTAGTTGTACCTATTTATAAAAAAACATAATTAATATTCTCTCTTTTCTATCCAATGTTTCTCTTTTCCTTTGTCTTTTTCAATTTACTCGCTGTAATCCAACCGGTTTTCTATACTTCTAGAGTTCTTAGAAATTTTGTTTATTTTTGTTGCCAAATACAGAATTCAGATGGCCGAAGCAGACGCAGCAGAGATTCCCGAGCCAGTGTTCACCTATTTCGGTGTCGATGGCGGTGCCACGTGTTCGTGTGCTGGCGGCAAAGGCGAGAAGCGATTCTTCGTCGGGAGCCAAAGGGGCGTGGTCAGAGAGTACGGATTGGAGAGCAAGCGAATGGAGGGGAACGTCTACAGTAAGGGATTATGCGATATGGCATCCTAGAATATTGAAAATTTACAGTTGATCGAGAAGAGCGGCGGATTCAATCTCTGAAATTCCACAACAATCACATCTTCGTGCACGTCAGAGCGTTTGCAGTTGTCCAGCTGAAAGAGCCCGAAAATGTCGATAACCCTTTGGAAACATGGGACATTATCAAGAATTTCGAAATGGATCACATCGGCTTCTGTAACTCGATTCTATTCGGTTCCAAACTTCTCTACGTCTCCACAGATGAGAAGAGATATTCGACACTCTGTTGTACAGAAATCGCCGGAACAGAGAACCATACAGCTAAGGCGCGAATTTTGACTGCACCTGACATCTCGCCGATGTGTATGATAATCGGAGAGGAATCAGAGAACGAGGTGCTGATTGGAATGGAGGATGGGCGGTTGGCAATTGCTTATGGAGATGAGAAGCAGGGAGTGTTCGATTATATTGTGACGGTATATCCACATGGCTAGATTTGACCCCTTAATGATGTTTGTGTTTCAGCAACAACTAGGAAAAGATCCCATCTTCTGCCTTGCAAGTTCTTCAGAATGGGTTGTGGCCGGATGTGCAAGACCACCGATTCACTTGGTCAATCGGACAGATCTAGTGGTTCAGAAGATTGACTACGTGTCACAGTTAGTAGTTCTGAAACATGCGAACTTCAAAAAATTCAAATTTCCAGCGCTGCCGGCTGCTCCACCATCGCATTCTCTCCGAACAACAGACAGATCATTGGCGGCTTCTTCGACGGATCGATTCGCGTCTTCTCCCGCCACAAACTGACCGTACTTCTGGCTCTCACAAATTTCCACGAAGCCACCATCAGCTCTATCCAATGGCTTCCAGAAGAGGATGACGAACTCGTTATCGCCGCGTCGTCAGATGAAACTATTACTTTGTGGAAGTTAAAATAATCATGATCTATTATATGTTCTTTCTTGTTTTATCGCTATTTATGTATGTGTATTTATTTCAAACCCTTTTGTGCGACACCTTGTGATAGGAAATTAAAATTTTGGGATTTTAGAACTTTGTACAAAACTTGATACGCACAGATCACACAGCCAAAAGAATCTTTGCTGCGTAGGATCACTGGTTCAGTCTTCGTTTGTATCAGAAGAGATTTCGGTTTGAAGTTTTTCACACATCTTGTGCGTTCTATTTGAAGCTCTCACACAAAATTTCAGGCTGAAATCTTTTGTTTAAACAATGTTATGAAGAATTCTTCTAAGCCTATTTTTATTCCAGATTTCAGATTCAATAACTTATGACAGAGAAGAGATTTCGGTCTGAATTTTTATACACATGTTGTACATTCTATTTTGAGCTCTCACACAAAATCTAGAAATTGTGGGTAACGTTTTTACGATACTTTGTGACAGGAAATTAAATTTCTTGGGACTATTTATTCATGTTCAAAACCGAAAAAACGACAAGTAGAGTTCTATTCAAGTTTTGGACGCCATGGCAAAACGATTCGATCTTCCGGCTTGATAATTCCTTTCTGATTCTCCTTATCTAGACACACGGTCCACGTATCCACATATTCGGCTCCCAACTTTCTCCGTTTTCCGATATCCTCTACATTGGTAAGATGAGTGCGACCCTCGAGTTTGTGCTGTGGAATCAGAAAATCATAGCGTTCGCAAGCAGCCGATTCTGCGAATGTGTGATCCTTCTTCTCAACATAACCAGTCGCCTTCCTCTTCTTATCCCGCTTCTTATCATCTTTTCTCAGCCAACGTCTTCTGACTGGAGTCTCATTGTCATAGAAGTAGGCAGCAGTTCGCTTCGGCTTCTTCTCATAAGCCTGCATCATTTTTGTCGCTTCCGTCTGCCCATTTCGTTTCTCCTGAATCCATCTCTCTTCTGTATGCCATTCCAAGATCCCACGACTGATAGTATTCAATGTAGGCCCAGAAGCGTTCGTAACGTTGAACTTCGTATTGATAGTACTTGTACCACATTCCATATCGTTGATACTCGACAAACGAGTCACGATGCTTGCCCAATTCTTGACCATACATGTACAATCGGTATTGCATCTCTGTACGAACGTGACGGATCTGTTGGTAGCACTGAAGAAAAAAAACCGAGAAAGGATATAATTTAAAAAATACATAATAACAAAACTCACCAGAAACAATAAATCATAATGGAGTTGCCTCCAAATGTAGACCTGATTAAAGACCACTATCGCCTGTCTCTTCGACGCTCTCCCCGACTGAACCATCGAATGGATTCCAACATCATTGTCGTAGTGAGCCATGATTGCAGTCATCACCGATAGGATTACTGTCATTGCTCTCCCCGATCCATGCTTGCTCATCACCACCACTGGATACTCCACCGAGCTCACTGCGATCCGCTCGCAGAGAACAATATAGAGTTGCCATTTCTCCGGCATACTGTCCTGATCCCAGTCGTCCATAAAAAAAATCTTGATGCTTCTTGCATGAACTCGTTGACGGAATCTTGAAAATGTGATGATAAACTTTCTCTCGATACCATTTCCATCCGGATGACGTCGCGCTTTTACAAATCGGATAAAGTATTCACGTTCCCGGTTTCTACGGACTTTCAGGATCTCACCAACCTTTTTTGGAAACCAATCAGCGGAACTTTGAATATTTCCTGAAACAATGAAATGGAGCAAGGAGATAGTTTTGTCTATATTCTAGTCTACTCACTCTTTAGCTGCTTATCCAACACCAACATGAACTTGACCTTATTCTCGTACAACCAGTGCCACAGTACTCCAACGGTGCAGTTGTGCAGCGGTGATGCAGCGCAGATCAATTTGTTCTTGAACTTCTTGTACACCTTGTGGTATAGATCCAGCCATGGATAGACCCAACATGCATTGTAAAAGTCGATATCATCCACGGCGTCGCTGGACATTCGGACGCGGCACCAATCATGGCAATGACGTGGCGAATAGCATCGGTAGATGTGGTCCCATTTGTCTTGGTAAGATGCGTGGATGTAGTTGTCGATGCGATCCACAGAAACCCAAGCGATCGTAGCGATCTCCAACTCTTATTCTGGACACCCAACAAACGATTCTTCAACGTACAGGGTCACATTCTCGACTGAAAAATGAGATATATTGGATGGAAAAGATCATATCTTTGGAATCAATATTTTTGAACAAACTAAATTGACTATGATAAAACTTAACAAGTACTACAAAATGATACTATTTGGATTATTGTAGCTTGTCTATGAACAAAGTTACAAACCAAAAACGATCTGAGCTATGAGGTCACAACTTCATGTCCTCGTAACTTTGTTCATAGCCAAGATACAGTATTCCAAGTAGTATCATTTTGTAGTTCTCGTCGAGTTCTATTATATTTAATTATGGTTATTCAAAAAATACTCACTTCCCGTGCGACTCTTCTTCTCCACCTCAAGCTCCTTCTGATCCATGTTTTCCATAATTACCATCACTCGAACCATCTCTTTGTTATTCGTATTTTTGCAGAGGATCTCTTTTGCATCAAACGCCAGCAATCTGTCCCATGCAGCATATACATTTTGGTCCCTCTCTTGTTGTGTGATTCCTCCGTTCGCCACAACTTCCTCAGCATCTTGAACCTTCTTCTCGTACCCCCACTTCTCTTTCAAATATCGCTGATCTTCAAAGAAGTACGTCTCCTCATCTAATCCAGTGAATTCCAGAATGTTCGAGTGGATGAAAGCGGCACGGACACCTTGTATCACTTCAAAGTTTTCTGGCTTCTCTTCAGGATACACCATATCTCCGGAATCCTCAGTTTCTGGCCACATTGTTCGATCCGATCGTGTCGACGGAAGATAGTCAGATGCATCGGATTGAGTAGATAAGGTGGAAGTTCCGATGGATCTCAAATCGTCAGAATCATACAAAACGTTAGGTTCCTCCTTGAATTTCTTTGCAGTAAATGTTGGGACAGAATCTTATTGAAACTCTCCAGATTCTCATCTTTGCTCATATTGTTGACTTCCTTGAAAACGTGAGCAGCATGGGATTTCATAAGATCGAAGATCGTCGTCATCCCATTTTCCAGCACTTCTTGGGTTCTATTCGAGTCAATACTCACGTTTTCAACCAAATTGTCAAACACTTCCGAATCAGAAAAAGTTTTGATTTCAGTGCTATTGAATATCTTGCCATATTTCTCGCAAATGATCTTTCTTAGGGATAGAAATTCATCAAAAACTTTCCTTGATGGTAGCTTGAACAGAGAAGATTCATCATGGATCTGCTTCCATTTTTTAGCAACTGTCATGAGAGGTTCGTAGTCTACTGTAGATGACTTGTAGATTGAATCCAGATCAGAGAGTATCTAGAAATTATTGATTAGGAAGAAAAGAATCTCCAGAATCACAGACCTTTAGCTCTTTTCCAATTCCCTCAATCATATCTTCTTTCTTCTTGTCCGTCCAAACTTTATCGATTTCCAACATCTGTCTCATTAGCTCCATAACAGGTCGCAAAGATTCACGAAGTGTATCTAGACTGCCCTTCTGGTTAAGAGATTCCATAATCCAAGGATCGGAGAAACTGTCCCAAATCCCTCCGGTATCCTTGATGCCACGTGGGAAAGCAGGCAGGCACTTGCTCTCGGATGGGTCATGGAGATAAAGTGCATTAGTGATGGCTGCCAGAGATTGAGACGTTCTTAATGGTGTCTTGAAGTCTTCAGAAGACACTACCCCGCTTAGCTGGGCAAGGGTGTTGTTGTTCTGCTTGAGAAAGGATTCGAGGCTCTCCAGAATGTCTTTGTGTTGGGTAAAGAAGTCTTCGTACTTGACCAGCGGGTTCATAACATCTTTCATAAGTGTATCAGAAGTACAAGATCCATCTACTACTTGAATCCATGGGTCCAGCTTCTCTTTGATTCGAGAGATGGATCCCTTGATGTTTTCAAGTGCTTGCTGCACGTCCGTACTTGGACCGTTCTTTTTCTGATCCTCTATCTTGCTTGGTAACTCCGACATATCCTTGGAGATGAAGTTGTCCGACAACTTTAACGAATTCAGCTTTTCAAGCTTATCCAATTCCTCATCAATTACAGATTTTTCTTGGATTCCATAGCAGTTGAACTTTTCTGCAACTTCCCATGATTGTAACTTCTGTTGGTTATTAGTCAGAAAAGATCCTTCCACATCTGGCAAGCTTCGAATAGAATTGATAAATGAAGTCATGTTCGAGATCATCTGATCAGGAGGCATTGGGATGTTAGGGATTCCGAACATGTCATTGAGGATCATGGAAGTGGACAAGTCCCTTTCAAAAGAATACATTCCGTTTTGGAGGTATATGATGTTGATGACGCGGCCGAACATTGCAGTCTGATTGTGAAGGAGGTCAATGTTGGAAGCTGGAAGGGAAAAAATTCAAAAACTCATAACTTTTTACATTAAGCTAATTTATCTCGGTTGCTGTCAAAGATATCACAAAGTGGTCAACTGATAAAATGTTTATCATAACATCAGAAGTCTTTTGTTGGTTGACACATTTTTGATATCTTTCACAGAAATCGAGATAATTGAGCTTGAAGCTGATGGTTTGGGTGCTCTTCTATCAGAGTGTTTACGGTCAAATCAATCACGGCTACCGTATTTCCTCCAATCAAAGTCAACTCTAACCGTCAACGTAGACCTCAATTATCTCGGTTTCCGTTTCAAGATATCAAAAAGTGGGTCATATGTGGTGACCACGTAAGGATGAAATATTTAAAATGAAAATTAGCGGATGAGAACTTTGCAGCTATCATCCTTGACATTCTAGGAATCGAATATGCTATGAATCTGTAATGAACAGGCACCTTACTTCCAACTTTGAGTCATTTCACACTACACTTTCCAGAACTAACTGGAAAACTCCAGAATTTAAAAAATTCGGGATTTCTTAGAATTCCACGCACCTCTACTCGGCTACTAGTAGTACGATTGGTCTCCGTGCTATTCGTGGTGGTGGTGACAGTCTTCTGATTCTCGTGCTTCTCCTCAACGAACACACTTCTACGTGGTGTCGGATCGAGCAATCCTCGAGACTCGGTAAGCTCACGGATCTCCTCATCCATCAATTCATTGGGTACTGAAAATTCCAAAATCGATTTCAGGTATTTGAACCCAAATACCGTACCCGCAACCCGAAGGACGCAATGCAAGGGCATAACTATCTCAATAAGGGGGGTTCGGCAAAAAAACTTATACCTAGTTCGAGCTCGATTATCTCAATTCTCATGCAATATATCAAAAATGTTTTAACTGATAAGATGCTTGTGATAATATGATAAACAATTTATCAGTTGACAACTTTTTTATATCTTTGACAGGAACCGAGAAAAATTGGCTCGAAGTTAAAAGTTAGCCTTCTATTACATGTTTTATGGTATGTGTGTTTTTAAACACCGTATTGATTTTATTGATATTTGAAAAAAATAAGTGTGTCAAAATGAACATTTTATTCAATTGTCTTAAAAAAATATACAGAGCATTGAGATCGCGCGAAAAAGCGTGGGAACAGGATGGGGTAGTTAAAGTTTGTCTGAAGAAAAATTTCCAGGTTCAGGAAAAAAAAACAAATAAATTGGGAAATAACTTCGTTCATATGGAGGAAGATATGAATTTTTGGGGTTCGAGAGAACTCTGCGAAGTTATTCATGGGGTGATTCGTTGCATAGCGACAGGGATGGAAGCGTTGGAGAAGAGAGAAGACGTGGATGTCGGTGATTTCAGTGGAAACGACGAGCGGCGGAAGTTGAACGGGTACGACGATTCATTGACGGGAACTGTAAAAATATAGAAATGCTAGATTGTAACCTGGGGATTCAGAAGCTCAGAAATTCAGAAAAATTCAAGAATAGCTTCAAAAAAAATTATATGTTTCAGATAGTTAAACATTTTCAGCCAATTATGAAATACCCGGAATTCACTAACCCTTCTGGAACTAACTGGAAAACTCCAGAATTTCGAAATCACTCACCTCTACTCGGCTACTAGTACTTCGATTAGTCTCCGCGCTAGTCGTGGTGGTGGTGACAGTCTTCTGATTCTCGTGCTTCTCCTCAACGAACACACTGTTCCGTGGCGTCGGATCGAGCAATCCTCGCGACTCGGTGAGCTCACGGAGCGCGCGTTGGATCTCCTCGTCCATCCATTCAGAGGTTCTGAAAATTCCAAAATCGATTTCAGGATTTGTACTCATTTGAAATACCGTATAATAGAAGGGCTTGACTATCTCAATTTCTATTCAAGATATCAGAATCGTGTCAACGGATAAAATGTTTCTGATATTGTGATAAGCAATTTATCTATTGTCAACTTTTGATATCTGGGACATGGACCGGGAAAAATTGGCTTAAAGAGAAAAGTCTTGCAAATGAAAACGTACACATTTGCAACACTGGTCTCATGGAGGATGACATCGTCCAGTTGTCTGATGCAGGAAGCTTGGCACAGTTCTCCAGTCGCGTCGTCAGTAACCACGACAACGGCGTGAGCAAAGCGCGGACGGTCTTCAATCAAATCGACAGACTCCTCGCCAATCTCATCGACGAACTGCTCGAGCACACTTTTGAGCAACGACGCGTCGAAACCCATCTCTCTGAAAAGTGATTTTTCAAAATGCTACTTAAGGAAAGTTAAGACTGTGGTTACTGTAGAAGATTAAACCCGAGTTTCAATATTTGGTTCATAAAGCGACGTACAGGATGGCACACAATTACCCGGATTGACAAAAATGGGGGTACCTTTAGTCATAATTATCTTAGAAATTGGTAGAAACATAGCTTAATGTTTGATTCAAAACTACTAAAATTTTCAAAACGATTCCTCGAGTCTAGGTATTGTTATTGATTGTCCAAATATCTACTTGTGATTTTCATGAGATGAACCAACTTTGACATGCGATAACTCCGCTCAAAGTTGATCAAATGACTTGAAACTTGACCAGTTTACTAATTAATCATTTGAGTTTTTTCTTGTCGAATTTGAGCTCAGTTCAACGCTTTATTAGAATTTTATGCTAGTACAAACTCGACTGTTTCGTATAAAGTTCCCAAGTTCCAAGAAAACCGCCAAAAAGTTCAAAACAAACAATAAGAATGGCGCCCCAGCAGGTGGGGTTGTGTTTGTGCGTGTGTTGAGAATGGTGAAATGGTGACCAAATGAGCGCGATGAAATACCGAAATAACGGAGAATGATGTCTTCTATTCTCCGTCGTTTCCCTCCTCCTATTCATTCTAAACGAGCCTCATTCTTATGACTAGGTGATTGCGGTGACCTCAATAGGACCCCATCACTTTTTCTTTTTGGTGAGGGTATGCTCGTTAAAGAAAGTACTTATGATGATGTACACCTCCCGCTATGAATAGTGGAATAGAAGAATAGAAAATGGGGCGAAATCAGAAGAAAGAAGGAAATTGTGGATTCAAAAGAAGATGGAAGAAAATTCCGTAAACACTCTAATAGAACGCCACCGAAGCCATCAACTTCGAACTCATACATCTCCATTCCTGTTAAAGATATCAAAAAGCGGTCAACTGACAAATTGTTTATCATAATATCAGCAACATTTTATCAGTAGACTACTTTTTGATACCTCTTGTAGAAAATGAGATACATGGGCTCGAAGTTGACAGTTTGGATGGCGTTCTATTAGTGTTTACGGTATATGTTTGTATGTACTAGCATAAAATATGAGAAAGGCATTGTACTGAGCTCAAATTTGGTGGGCTAAAATTCAATATCAGGAAACTGACCAAGTTTCAAATTATTTGGTCAACTTTGAGCTGAGTTATCGCTTGTCAAAGTTGCTTCATCACATGAAAATCCCAACGGCGCGGGACGTGTCATCTTTAGACAATCATAATATTACCTAGACTTGCAAAATCGCTTTGGAAATTTCAGTAGCTTTGAATAAAATATAAAATTAAATTTCTACCAATTTTCGTGCTTCCAAGATAATTATGAGTGAAGATATACCCGTTTTTATCAGTTAGGGTGATTGTGCGCCAACGGAAAACTGAAAGACGGTTATGTTAAACTGTTCGGAAACAAGCCAAAAAATACAAAAAATATGAAGAAAAAACCACAAAACGAAAATGGAGATGACAAATCGAATGCGACTTTTATTATAATGTATCATCCCCTTTTTCTCCTGCGTCTTTTTATACAATTCTAACAGTTTCGGGAAAAAGACATGAATCACAGCCAAGGAGCTTCTGTATGTTTCTCTTGCCCGCCGAAAAAAAATTGTTTGAAAAGGAAAAAAGAAACAATGGCTTGACGATTGAAAACCGACACCTCATGCACGAGGAATGTGCCACCATCGAAGTGTGGGAAGGCAGAATTGGATTGGAGGATTTAGAAGACGTCACAACAAAAAGAAGAGGGGAATCTGATATTTGAATGTCTTTTTTTGAGAGAGGAGAGAGAGAGAGAGAGAGAGAGAGAGAGAGAGAGAGAGAGAGAGAGAGAGAGGCTGTGAACTGATATTAAAAGTTTATTCTGAATAACATGTTGATATGGTTTTCGGGCTTTTTGAAGAGTTTTGTTTTGCATGGAGGTGGTATTCTACAAGAGAGTTGGTATTTTGCAGAAAAAAAGCCGGATATCAGCCTTTCCCTGACATCGAAACGTAAACACCAATAGAAAGCCGCCCTTTACTTTGAGCCCATGCATGTATCTCGGTTCCTGTAAAAGATATCAAAAAGCGGTCAATTGATAAAATGTTTATCATAATATCACCAATATTTTATCTGCTGACATCTTTTTGATATCTTTCACAGGAAGTGAGATATATGAACGAGAATTTGAAAGTATATAGTGGCCTTCTATTAAGGAGCTTACGGCGAATGGCATCTATTAAAGAGTTATGGCACTACCTCAATTTAGAATGAAAAAAGTCATTCCCTGGACATCTCGAAAAAAATTTTGGTCTCAAGATTAACGGGTCCAGACACCCCATAAAAGTGAATTTAGTGAAATAGAGACGTCACACGAGAAAAAAAAACGAGGCCCGTAATTCGATAGAATGCACTTTTTTTTCTCGTCGGAAGAGATGAGGTGTCGAATGGAAGAAAAAAAAACGCATCATAACATAAATCGGGGGATTTCAAATCAAAAAGTTAATGCTTTTGGGCTTCCTCTTCTTCTACTTTTTCTTCTTCTTTGAAACCGGTTGAAGCGAAGATTATTACAACTTTCCTCACACTTTTTTCTGATTGATATCCTCTTTCCGTTGTATTTTTACTTCGCCTGATTTACGATGATTCGCGTGACAGGGATGTTGGGAAGGATAAGGATTTTTAAAGGAGCATAAAAATTTTTTTCATACTGGGCTCAAATTTAGAGTGCAAAAACTCAAATAATTCATCAAAAAACTGACCAAGTTTCAAGTTATTTCATCAACTTTGAGCTGAGTTATCGCTCGTCAAATTTGCTTCATCTCATGAAAATCACTACTCATTTTTGGACAATCATAACAAAACCTAGACTTGAAGAATCGCTTTGAAAATTTCAGTAGGATTTAATCAAACTTAAAAGTATATTTCTACCAATTTTCGGTTTCCAAGATACGTAGGTCTAGAGATATACCCGTTTTAATCAGCCCGGGTAATTACAGAAAGATAAAAAACAAATCGAAAATTTTCCACATAAACAAATCAATATAAACAAGTGTTTGGTAGTAGTTTCTCCTGCCGTTCATAAACGGAGGTCTCTCTCATATCACTACGTTATCATAATAATTGTTTGTACATGTACTTGGAGACGCAGACGGTTAAACAGAGAAACCAAATCGGACGTAAAAGTGGAGGTTGATGATACAGTTTTGATTGATAATCAAAGATGAAATGAGGGGGAGGAGGACAAACTGTGTGTGTGTGTGTGTGTGTGTGTGTGTGTGTGTGTTCAAATGATTGGGAAAGTTTTGCCCTGAAGGTGTGAGAAACAGAAGCTGGACAGAGAGGAAAAGCGAAATGAGTCAAGAGGAAAAAAAGAACAAAGGAGAATTTGAATTTTCGAATTCGAAATTCCATCCACATGGGTGGAATTTTTCGAAAAATTTGATCATTCAATGCATTATTCATATCGGGAACTAAAAGCCAATATTTCAAAAAATGATGTTTTCAAATTTCAAACATCAGTTACCTCAAGCTGAAGCTGACATTTGGAATACAATTGAAAACAGCAATTCGAAGTAAAACATATTAGAAATTTCCAAAATATTTAAAATCTACCGTATAAAAGCTAGCCCTATAAGCTTTGAGCTCAATTATTTCCGCTCCTAGATATCAAAAATGTGGCAACTGATAAAATGTTAGTGACATTATGATAAGCATTTTATTAGTTGATAAACTTTTGAGATCTTTTACAGGAACGGAGATAAAATGGCTCAAAGTTAAAGGTTAGGGGGCCCGATCTTACGATAGTCGAATTTGGAGGTCCACAAAACTGATTAAAATTTCTCTTATCAAACAAAAAAAATTTGGAATGTATTAAGCACAAAAATTTGCATTTTATGCTGTAAAACATGCCAAAAATTGAAAAAAAATCAGAATTGGTTCATCCTGACGGCTCAAGCAACATACCGTAAACACCCTAATAGAATGACCTTCAACTTTAACAGCCAACTTTAAGTCAATTTATCTCGGTTCCTATAGAATATATCAAGAAGTGATTAAAACAAAGTATTTTTGATAATTTGATAAACATTTCATCAGTTGACCACTTTTTGATATCTCTTGCAGAACATGAGATATATGGGCTCAAAATTGACGCTTCAGTAGGCGGTCTGATAGAGCGCTTACGGTATTTCAAGTTCGGTGAGTTTAGACAAATCTATTTTTCCACACATAATGAAATACTGAAAATGTGAAAATTGGTACTGTATTTTTTTAATTATAAAAACAAAGCTTGAGATTTACAAATTTTTAATCTAAAACCCATTTCTGCAAGTCGAACAGCGCCTATTAGTCTACTAAAAAACTTGTTGAGACACCTGTCACACTGTAACTATCTAGTGGAATATGGTGTTCTAATCACATCACCTTCCTGATAAGATACCATCACTCACTTTTTCGGTGGTTCCACTGGATAGCACATTTGTTGTTACCTGCACCACAGAGATGGGGATCGGCCAAGCGTCGCGCGCTCCTAAAATATATCTTGAACGTTGATCATCATCACCAAAAAAGTAAGAGAATACAAAAGAAGGAATTGAGTATATTCGTTAATTTGATTAGAGATAAAGAGAAACCAAGATTCACTGGGTGTGACGGGACACCAGGCAGGGCAAAGTGCCATCAGGAGAGGGTTGGAACGATAAGGAGGAAATGGAATAAGGCGGGGAGGAGGAGGGAAAAGGTCGAAAATGCGAAAATGTACCTTAAGGATTACAACGAACTCGTTGTTTACACGAGTTCTTCTTTCCGTTATTTTAGGACATTCGGCCCAATGTGTGTGTGGAGTGGTCTTCGTAGCATCGGAAAAAAGAGCTTCTTCGAAACGGGATTATTGCATTTGGGGGGTTTGGAAGATGATGAAAAGGTTTTGTCACACACAACTTGACACAAAAGAACGAGGAAGAAGGAGCAGGG